TGTTATGGATTAATCATAATTTAAAATGAAATCACCACCTTCAAATTTGTTTCAGTGGTCAGTAAGATTTATTAGCAAGCGAAAGTGAGCAAAAGAGCGCTGGGTGTGCCGGGCAGTCTCCGCTCCACCAAGGCACACACCTTACATCCCGAAACGGAGTCCTTTCAAAGTGCAGCCTTCATGAATATTCATGAGGGTGGGGGCGCTCCCTGAGGGGTTTGCAAGTCGGCAACATCTTTTCCTGGGCTTTTCCTTCGCGGGGTTTTTGTTGCCGGGGAAGGTTCGCCGGCTTTCCACCGTGGGGAGGAGGGGACGGCTCAGCACAGGTGTGCAGGTATCCATGGGCCAGACAGGGCTGGACATAACACCGTTTGGCCTGAGGACAGCGGCCATTTTAACTCCCTTTTAACAACTGATTTTAACCATAAAAAACTATACACATAATGCTTTATCTCCTTTTAAACCTTGGGTTACGTGTAAAGTGCAAAAACATTTAGAACCATAACACTGTCTGACCACAACAAAGTTCCGTTACAATGCAATCTGATGTTAACACAATTCCTTTTTCTATTTAATTTACTGAATAGTATATTTAACCATAACTTGAGATTTGAATAACAAATATCATATAGGTTTTATTACACTTTGGTGTTTCCACCAACAAACTACACGCAAGAGGTTAAATTAGGAACCAATCCATACTCTCCAAAATTAAAACCACAGCATTGTCTCCAATTAGCTAGTCGGATGTACTTCCTCATTTTAAGACCCCAGCACTGACATTTTAGATGACATTTAAAATTTTTCAACAGCAAGAAAATTCTCACTAGTAATCAGATTAAAATGCAAGTTTTTTGATTTAGGAACAGAACGTGCTGCAACGCTTTACAGGATAGTTTGTGTTTCTTCTGCTGCACCATTTAAAATACATTAGGGATGTCAACAGCTAATTACTCTGACAACTAGCTTGACTTCCCCTTGTGCTTTTTCCACATCAGACAGACTCCAAAGGAGGAAGACACGACAGTTTTTCTCCTAAAATTACAGACTGAAAGGGTAGGCATGAATCCCCGTGGGTGGATTTACTCTTGGGCGCACAGGGGATGTTTTCACCTACTTTCTAGCACACTGGGAAAGAGCAGTGGAAAGAGAAAAATCAAAGGGAAAAAAAAATCCTCGTAGACCATGTAACACACAAAGTGATCATTTAATTTCTACTCAGGGCTTTCATCAGGAAGTTAAGATCTAATCCTGTATTTTCAAAGCAAAACTGGGAATGCATCCTAGCAAAAGTGGGAATACCACCCACAACAGATACCACGAGTTCAGCTGAGCCCAGCTTAAACGTGGCCCAGCAGCCGCACAGTTCTGGGAAAGGTCTTGCGCATCCCCATGCACTTCTCCTGGTCGATGAAGAGCGAGTTGGCTTTGATGGCCAGGTCATGCTCCAAGACCGACTTGGAGTGAAACAGCACTTGCAGCGTGTCCTCAGCATCTCTCAGCCGCTGCTGAAGGCTCTGGATTGTCTCATCGATTTCATAGACCTCGTTGACAAGGCTGGAAAAGAGCAAGAAACCCCTCATGAACAGTCCCACCATGGGGGTGGTTTCTAGGACAGTGTTGCTTGATGGGCCCCTTTCAGAGTGTTCAGACTGACTCAGACCCCCACATTTCTGGCAGATGCAGGGGAAAGCCGAGGGCAGAGCTCCTCCGACTTCAGCAGGAGGCATGGTTAGGTTTGCTCCAAGACTTTGGCAAAGCACCGCCACGTCTGCCAGAGCACCTCGTACCACCGAGAAGAAGGATGAGCAGCCGTGGCTTCCTGTTCCTGTTTGGTTTTGTGGGTTTGTTGGTTCACCCTCCTGGATTTCCCTGTGCAGGGGCCCTCTCCACACCCACAGATGCACACACAACAAAACAGGACAGCTGGGAGAAGCTAAAAGTGAATGTGAAACAAGTGGAGGATGGGGAAAAAAAAAAAAAAAAAAAAAAAAAAAAAAAA